TCTGTAAGAGAGTGGAGTGTCCAAGAACTGTCTTGGCCTTTGTATTTTTTTGGAGATCTCTGTAGCCTCCAGAAATGCTGCATTTCCAAATACGGCAGTCGTTTCCCTCCTGGGCTGATCATCTGGCTGTTCATCTGCAAGTTCCAAGCAGTAGTCCTCAAATGCCAGGAAAGTAGCTGGATGTAGAAACCCGGGCAAAACGCAACAAAAGTCTGTAGCTACGATCTGACAGATGTCTTATAGGCGGCACTGCAGAGTAGAGTTTCTTCCATCTGCTGCAGGAACTTTTAGCAGCCTTTTCAGCTCTGTCACTGACAGGGCCTAGTTACTCCTAAGGCTCAGGATGTGATTGATGGAAGTTAGAGGTCCAGGTTGGGACCCCCATTCATTAACAGCACTTTTTTAGAACTTTATGTTAGTATGACAGTAAATGGATCACTCTTTTTTTAGGCAAATAATCAGTCTGCATGTAGTATGTTAATATGCTTAATGTTAAAGGGACATAATCTTTTTATAGTTTTATACTGATTTGCTGGCGTGATTCATTAAACTTATCAGTTGCAGACAGTCTGGGAGAATGAAATGGAACGGAAATGCTTGTGAAAAAATGAAGCAATTTGTATCGCTAAAATGACCTGCAGCTTCTGGGCTGACTGATACTTTGTGGGAGGAGTAAGATAAAATGAGTGTCATCAAATATTACATGAGAGGTTGGTCAGTGGTGCAAGGTAGCTATGGCTGTTTAAAAACTGCTAGCCTACCATGCAAAGTAGGTGGTATATCACGGTGCACCTGGCCAAAATCTTTGGATTAGTCTGTAATTGGCTTTTAGACAAGAGATAAAGAGCCTGCCTTCTCATCCCCCTGACCACCCCACTCTCCCCCGCCTCAGATTATGCTTCCTGCCCGACACCATTCCTTCTCAGTTTTGGCACTTGGAGGACAGCAGTGATTTCTCCAAGCTCCATGCAGTTCCTGGGGAAAGTGTTGTTTCGAAGAGGATGTCTGGGAGATAGGACAAAACTATTTCTCTTCTTTTGTCTCATTATCGCTAGTCATGTGTGGCAGGAAATCATGAAGTGGGTTCTTCCTATCATGAGACTGGTTTAAAATCATAAAAGTTTAGAAATAAGCAAGAATTTACATCGTTTCATCTTACTTACCTTGTGATGTTTATTTCTTCAGGGGGAAGTTTCCCATTGAAGACTTGATTATGTAAGGTTCTGAAGTCATTCCTAAATGAGTACCAGAAATGCAGATTTCCTTGTTCACAGTTCAAAAGATACTCAACTAAATTTCTAATTTTTTACAAGGAATGAAGAGCTATTGTTATTCTCTGTCCCATTCTGTCAGTAACCTCTAGCCCTCTGTTTTATCTTCCATATCCACTTTTCTCTCAGTTTTTCCCCTTGTTCTCATACATAGCCCATACTCCTTTCTGCCCATTTGAGTTTCTTCTGCTTAGTCCTCCAAGGTGTGCTTCATCTCCATTAAAATCAAATATCCCAAACTGGTGTGATGGATCCCAGCCCAGAAATGCTGCTTTCTTGTCATTGAATAGAAGGAGACTGCAGTGACTAGTAGAGATGTTTGTACTTACCCTGGGTTAGTTGAACCCAGACCCTGATTCCGGTACCTGCTGTAACCATCTTGCTCTCTCTCAGTTTCTCACCTCATTACTTAAATGCCCCTTTGACCTCCCTAAATTGACCTTTCCAGTCTGGCCCTCCCATCTTCTCAGAGGACCAAGAGGAAGAAGCTCATACTTCCTCCTAGCATGCGCAGAATGTTACCACATCTCTCAGATTCAAAAATACATTTTAGTAGCTGAGGATAATGCTATCCAGTGATGGCTGTCATTGTTGGCCAGGCTTTCACCCACCTGCAAAGGTTACAGCCAGTGATAGTGGGAGATGATGCTACTGTAAAATAAAGGCAGAGTTTTGTACTACAGGTGGCCTGTGCTGGCATAGCCAGTTTCTTTCACACAGGGCCTTATGCAGCTGTGCTCCCCAGTGCTAGGTACCTTCTTACCTTCCTCTCCTTTGGTTATTCTAATCTGAGGCTAAAGAAACAGGAAAAATTGAATATAATGGCGTCATTTTTGGGATCACAAATTGAGACCCAAAAGCACAAGTCCATTCTTCTGGCCATGCTAAATTTAAGAACAAAACCTGACTTAAAAATAAATAACAACATATTTTTTTCTAAAACGGTGCATGTTAAATATCATGCTGAAGGAAGCATGCAGGGATTGACTTGAAAACAGATGTTTATAATGATTCAGTGACGTATTTTAATTACATTCCCAGATGCAATTAAAACAGACTTCTTCTGAATTTATGGGACATGGTGATAAAGCTGATAACATTCTACATGATGCTGGAGGAGGAAGTATGAGCTGCAAGCATGCGTCCTCCAGCTGTGATCTCACCGGGTCTGAAAAACCAAGAGAGGTCACACTGGGTCATTTCTTGAGATGGGAGGCCCAATGTTTTTTTTCCAGGCATAACCATGTACTGCAAGAAGTAAAGCGCATTATTCAGTGGGTGGCACTTTTCCCTCCTAGTCAGTACTGAGTTGGCATTGCAGCATGTGTTGGCATAGTTTTCGGATCTCATTCTCTTTCTGCAGCATATGATAAACGCTTATCGTAGTCAGTGTTAATTTTCATCTTTCTGTGCATTTACAATATAGCATGGTAAAATGCTGTAATAATATAAGAGAAAAAAAGTTGATTACTTTTGTTTTATGTGAATATGGAGAAAGTTTGACTTCAAACAACGAATTCAGTGAATCTACATACAAAAAAAAAGTTCTCAACAAAAGGAACAGATTTTTCAGGAGCTGGTATTTTAGTTTGATTGGACAGCCTTAATAATTTTATTTTCAGTATTAAACCCCAATTTCTCTCTGATGCCTTACTTTAAAAGAAAATGTATTTACCGAGTAAAAAATGTTACTGTATTATTTACCTCTCCAGAGCAATGAGGTTTATTGGTCTCGTTGGAGGTGTTCCAAATTCAGAATGGATTAGGTACATTTGCTCTTAATTTCCCAGAAGTACGGAGGTCGCAGTAGAGTGCGGAGCCTGCAGGTGTGGAGGGACATGTGCCCAGTGTCCGTGCGGAGAGCTGGCTCTGGAGCGGTGCTGTCCCTGCCTGCTTCCTGGCTGAACGGGGCTGCTGAAGGATCTCCTGTGTGTTGGTGAAATATTCAGTGATACAGATGGCTTGCGTGTTTTCCTCCTGGTTTGTTTCTGAGAGGCATGACAACAGTAAAAACAACAGACTGCTGAGTTACTCACTGGTTTCTCCATGACTATGAGGAGGAAAAGTGAGGAGTAGCCCAGATGCACTTATGTACACCGAAATAGTTTGGTAACACAAAGCAGCTGTAAGCTTTACCTGTACATCAGTTAATCTGACTTTTCTCATATATTATCACCTTTCAAGTTCTTCAAAAAAATGAGTGTCTCTTTTATGATTTTATCACAGAAATCCCTGTCTTTTGATTGCTGTTGACTTGATCCAAACAAACCAACCTCCAGATCTCTCAAGTCTCCATCTTAAGGGTTATGTGAACAAAGTCATGAGAGGTTTTAGTAATGTTTATTAATATTAAGCTCCCTTCCTTAAACACCTGCATCAAGATCTTCTCTCCCTCACTTCTGAGGGAAGTGGCACTTAGGAGTATTTCAAGTGATGAGATTAGCTGTCAGGACTAGCAAGGTCAGCCGCACAGTCCACCTTCCTCCCCTCCTGAGATGAAAACACCTCTCTCCCAAATCTTCGCATCCACCTGCCCTCCAGAATTTCACTTCACAGAATCCAGATAGACTTGGGAGTCTGTCAACATCTATGCTGAAGTACCATCATTTTCTGGAGGTACAAGTTGGCTGTATTTGACTTTGGTTTATCTAGCATAGAAACCCCGTGAGGTGGTGATGTCCAAAGGAAAGCCTTTCAGAAAACAAGGATCTCTATAGTACCTACTGGAGAATAGTTTGGACTGGTTATATTTTTATTCATGTTTTCTATGCATTCTCCTGCTGCAACAAATGTGCTTTTACTGAGTGGAAAGTTTCCCATTATAATGACAATTACACTTAGTCATCATAGAGGGCAAGAAAGAAAGAAGATCACTTGAAATGTGGTAGATGTAAGAAACAAGGCCAGAATCCTGGAGCTTGACATCGTCTGGCCAGTAAACACTAACAATTGCCTCCATCTCTAATAAATAACGTTAGGAGCAGTTTGTTTTCTGACGGGCTGTGGTTTGACTTGATCTTATAAAGTGTGCCCAGACATACTTCTTCGTGTAGTCTCCTGTGGTAATCATACCAGTATTTAACTTCCTTTAAAAACTGTTCTCTTCCTAGCTGAAGGTTGATAATTATTGATTAAAAAAAAAAAAAAAAATCAGTAGAAGATAAATCATGAACTGCAGTTTCACGATCCCTTTCTCCTCAAAGCAATGGCACTTATTTATAGAGGTTAAGTATTTATGCAGAATGTAAGCCATTTATTAACTAACTGGTATTAAAGAGATGCTTCTACGACTGAATTGATTTTGTTTTAAATATTATGTTGGGCTTTGAACGTGTGACTGTAGAATCCTGGAGGAGAATCCACTTGTTTTAAATTGAGACGTTCAGATTGCTAGATGCAGAGTATGTGTGTATGCTATAAAAATTACTTAATTTTTAGATGGTGACCCAAAAGACAATGATTTAGAAGTAATATAACAGTTTTCTATGCTTAAAAGCTATAGCAGGTTTATTTCTTATTTTACAAAGGCATCTTTTATTGGACTGTGACTGAGACAAGAGGTGTACATATATAAAGATAAAACAGTATTGCATTGGGTTTAAGCGAACATTCCCCACACTGACCAGCCTTGCAGTCAGGGTGGCACCGCTGACATCCCTGGCTCACTGTGGTATGTTCTGCCTGTCATCCAGTTCAGACAACTAATTCTCAATTTCTCTTTATTTTCAGGGTTGTTCCGGTTGTGGAAAATGTGACTGCAGTGGAGTAAAAGGGCAAAAGGTAAGCCATCTCTCTCCGCTTCATTATCGTGCTTATTTAAACTACACAGTGTATAATGCACTGGGAGGCAGGTGAGCCACTGGTTTCAGTGAACACTTGCACCGCCAAAGTGCGTTGCCAAGGCCAGGCTGCACGCCCTTCAGCAAGGTTTCCGAAAAGCAGCCAGCTCGGTGTTTGCAGCGGGAGGGCCCGGGGTGGGAAACAGCCGAGCGCCCTCACTGCAGGGTGAAGCCCCTAGCCCGGTATTTGGCCGTGCCCTCCCCTTTCCCCATCCAGCTGGATGCTAACCCGGCACTTTCCAGTGCCTCACCTCCAGTCTTTTCAGTGGGTAGCAGGCTGGAGATCTTGACCCCCTCTGGAAGCGATGCGAGCACTTCGATCCAAAATGCTCCCCGCAGCCCCCTGTTCAGATTGCTCTCCAGGAAGGCTGTGATGCATCGTAAGCAATGTACCCTGACCAGGGTTAGCCCTGGGAGGCAATGGCCTGGAATAGTAAGAAGGAGGTTAATAATCAACTTAAATACTTGAAAGTGTTGCAGGTCAAGGAAAAAAAAAAAAAACACAAAAAAAAAAAAACAAAAAAAACCCAAAACTTTTTGACAGAACCTTGCAAATGAGTTTTAAAGTTCCCGCTCAGCTATCCAAACTTTCTGTGTATTAAACAGAAAAGGCACTTTAAAGGCTTCTTTTAAAGTAGTAACAGTGAAGAAAAAATACAGCATACTTAAGCATTCCATGAATTCCCCCTGTAAATTACCTGCTTTTGTAAATACTACAGACATTCAATCACTCTCCTTATCTCTTACAGTTTTGCTGTAGAGATTTTAATCTACAGTGTGTTCTGTTGTGCATGCACATGTACTGTGTATCTACCATTATAAATGAGTGTAAACCAAAAGGTTTTATCATCCTATGATTGCACTGGGAACATTTTTTTGTAAAGTTCTTTAGATCACCCAAAAGTGTGCTTAGAAGAGGTGGGGGGGGTGGGGGTTGTTTGCTTTTTGTTTTGGGAGGAGGGTTGTTTTGGTTTTTTACATAAACAAACAGCTGGTGTTCTACATTGTTTCACATGTAATAGCTATGTATTTACAGATGAGGGTTTTAAGAATGTTTCTTGGTGGGTTTTCTTCTGTGTTTTCCAGAACAAGGAATGTAAATTACTTAATTGGAGACCCAAACAAAGATAATTTTCTTTGTAACAGAATATAGATTAATGTGTGAGACAGATGAAAAGTGTCAAGGTTCAAAACATCTTTTAGATGGAGTCTCCTTTTTTTAATGACCCATTAATATATGTTTAATAAAAGTCACCTATATATTAAAAATAAATAAAGCAATGATTTGGGAAAGCTTTAGAACTCTGGATGTATTCCTTGATACCTTGATCTTATTTTTCAGTAACAAGTACAAATGAATCTTTGTAGAATGAGAGAGATAGAACTCTCTTGCTGAAAGCTATTATTTTTTAGTTCACAGAGTATGCCAGCATTTTGTAACTAGATCATTTTAAAAACTTATAGTCTGGGGAAATAAGTTGTATTAAAGCTTACACTTCTTTTATTTCTGGCTGCAATCCTGACTCTCTTTGCTAGAGCTCCTGCTGGAGTTTTTCATTTGCGTAGTCCAGAATCTCAAAAAGTTCTCTCTGAAAGAAAGAGATGCTTGTCTGATATGCTAGAAGCCAAAACTACTTCAAATTAATGTGGGTTAATAAAAAGTGTGGAAGAAAGAAAAATACCAGCCCATAGCAACAGAAGTCATAGTAAATTCCAAATCACATGCTAACTTGTCAGCAAGTCTGTGTACTCCATGTTCTTCCTCATGGGTTCCATCAGAAACATCTCTGACTTTAAACATGTGTGCATAGTGAAATATTTACATATTTTTAGGCTGTGTAGGAGATTTAATTATTGATATTAGAGATGTCTAAACAGGTGAATGAATAGTTATACCTAGAAAGCAATATTCAAGAAAGGCATTTGAAGGTATTTTGGAATGCATTTAAAATTAACTTGATTCAGATCACTACATACCAATGCTTGCTCATTATGTTAGCATTCTGAGGCTTTCAGATGTGTACTTAGGATTTTGAACAGAAAACTGAGTTTTATTTTAAAACATCTGTCCCCTGCCCTTGTTTTAGCCTAGTGCAGCTTTTCGTCCTGATTCTTTACATTTACTGCCTGCCTAGAATAAGGGCAGCCTGCTCCCCAGGGAAAGCAAGGGATGCATCCTTCCTGATTGCCTCTGTAATATTTCTATAAATGTTTTTTCCAACCAATGCATTTGGATGTGAAACCTGTCTGTGCTAAACACAGTTCCCATTAATGCACACATCAGTAGTGGTACCTGTTACCTCAGACATCTATGTGAATGTTTAATCTGAGAAGGACTGATTAGAAAGATGGATCCTAGCCAGGATCCAGGTCAGAAGAGGGCCGCCATGCCCAGCTCTTGTGGTACCCCAGGAGACCACGTTAGAAAACATCTGCTCTCCACTTCTCACGTAGCCACTTGCGTGGGAAGCACATATCCATTCTGCCCTGCACCGTCCACAGCCAACACACTGCCTACACTGGAAACCCTTTTGATCTGGCTTCCACGTTGTGCAGAAGTGCACAAATGCTGAAGGGCCTTTTCCAATCCACCCACACTCTTCAGCAACGCAACCACACCAGTTTACTGCCGTGGGAGCTTCGGCAGCTGCGGAAGTGGGTGCCGGGTTTACTCTTTAATGCCTTAATTATTAACATCTGGAGATATATTTCCTACCATAGTGTGGGAAGAAGTTCCAGACCCTATGATTTGGGGGTGGGGCTTAATTAAAATATGTTTGGCCAAATAATCATCTTAATGATCTCACCAGAAAAAGTGCTGAAAATAGTATTTGACTCAAAAGCTATGAAATGCCCAAGAAATATTACCCGATGGCATTTCAGACATGGAAGAGTAAATTACATTGCCACATTTTTCTCTCTCATTTGAGAATCTTTTCGTCAATATGACCATTTGGATGGTTGTATTTAGAATACATTCAATATGTTCTCTCATTAGACTGTTTCCATGAAAATTGCATCTCTATGCCAAACTCCTTTAAGATGACTCATACTTTATCAAGGGCATATAATTGACAAAGTCTAAGGGTTTTCATTCCTTTCAGAAAATTTCAGAAAGTGAGTATAATTGCAACAGATGGCTCTGATCCTATAAAGCCTTTATTATTGCACTGAACATCAGGCTGTTATTTTAAGCTATATAATGTCATGTATTTTAGAAAAACATAATATTGCTAAAGTAATACAATAGTGAATAATACCTTAGTGTTTTCCATTAGATAGATTAGCCTAAAACATCTTCATTTGTTTCCTCTTACACTTCTTATTTGGTTTTCTGCATAATAACTGACTGTTCTTTCTAACCTCACTAAAGTGTGAGATCTGTTTAAACTGATTAGAGTTTTGAATGCTTGCCTTCATTTTATTGTAGAAGTAGAGAGAAGTTGTGTTTTCTCTTTTATGTCTACCTATGTTTTGAGAACAATTTCAAGCAGCTGTGGAGATAAGAAGTGCTAGCCATTAATGTGTGTAGAAAAAGCATGTTAAGCATTTAATTACCATTTAGAACAAAGACTGTATAGAGCTGAGTAAAATTCTCCATGCACTGACTTCTTCCAAGAATGTTCATTGTCTCATTCATGACCATTTACACTCATTTTGCTCCATATCAGAAACATGTATAAATGGAGGCAACACTGGAACTTTGCTGTAACTAATACAGAATGATAAATCTTCTAACACTTATCAGTTATAATGCATTGAAGTATAAATCCTCATTCTTTAGTATAAATATATTATGATGATTTCACTGTCTTGGCATTACTCATTGAAAGTTGAAGTCACAAGAATATCAAATGTGATTTTATTATTGCACATGAAGTATTGCACTTTTCAAAAAAAATCTTTCAGAATATCCTAGCAGAGAAAACAGAAAACAAGAATAAAATTAACTCTTACGTAGATGCTATTTTTGACCTTTTTTTTTGTTTGAGGTGTAAGAAAACTTGAGCAAATAATTTTATACTGGCATATTTTTGTTTGTCTAATTCTGAGACTGTATCTGTATTATTATGCCTACATAAAAATTACTTCTCTGTTCCCCTTGATGGGTGCATTGTCCCTGTGTGGATTGACCATGCTGCAGAAGTACACAAACTGGCTTTGCTTGAGCTATTTTGGGTCTGGACACCAGGTATCTCTGTTACTGGCTAAGGCTGACAGTCACTGGGACACCTCTGTGGTTCCACATCAGCAGGACCAGTGACCAGTCTTTTCTCTCCTGCACACTCCTATGGCCTTAAAAGCCACACACGGTTTTGGTGTTTGCAGGTGATTGTGCTTCTCCATTTTCTCCGTGTAATGAAAAGTTGACTGTTCCAGCAGGCTGTGTCCCTGTAGACTTGTTTTGTTTAGTTTTTTTTTAAGGTTTACCAGATTGGGAGGGCCTTCAAGGCTTTTCCTGTCATTTTAGGTATCAAAAGATAGAGCAAAAGTATTTGTGACATTGATGAGTTAAAACAAAATAAAACCCCTTGTTGTAGAGAAGCTCTGGTAGTTAGTGGGAAGATCCCTATCAGGTACTTCTGTGTTTCCTTTACAGCATAGTAGAGGGCAACAAATCAGTTTCTTTAGTGAAGCGAATCAGTAATCACTAGATCTGTGCTTTTCATATTCAACCCGTATTAGCAGCATCAAGACTTTTTTTATCAAGATTGTTTATTTTTTACACTTTTCATTGGCACTATTTGGTTTAATAAGTTCTTCCATAGTCTTGCTCAGTGTTTCTGTTTAAGTGGCTGCTGTAGTAACTTACCTTCCGTACAGCACCTGTTGATGCCTGAGTTGGAAAGATTATGATCTGAGGACACTAAGGAAACCACAGGTAAATCAAATACCCTGGAGAGGGCCATAAAGTTGACAAGAGGGGTGACAGGCAGGGTG